GACCTACAACAAGACACTAGACATGGAAATCGAAATGAAGCTTCATCTTGGAAATGGCATTGTGAAGGGCATCGCTATGTCCCTGGTTGAAGATTATGAGATTGTGGATCAATTGTTTCTTGAAGAGCCCTATAATACGAATAACATTGGCACTTCGGAGGACAACATCACGGAAGAAAGCAATGAGACCACGGACGATGCCAATGAGACGGCATCCAAGGGCGGAGAATATTATCTACCTTTGCATGAGAACCGCCCCAAGACTATAAGCCGTGGTCGACGGCAGATGATTGAAGAAACATTGGATGATATGGAGAAAGCAGATTGCGTTCTCTAGAGACCACTTCAAGGAGAAGTCAAGCGGCTAAAGAAGATATTGCCCAAGGGATGCAAGTGCTTCCTGAAGGAATTGTTTGCTCGCTGGCGCTGCAACACTGAATCTTCTGTATTGATCTTGCCGCAATTTATCGATGTTCTGGGTCGAAAATTGGACAAGATCCGAGCAGAGCTGGACAGCCCTGCTTTTCTTGGGGGGGGGATATCTAGCCAACAGTGCATGTTAAATGTGTTAACTAGTGGAGTGGGAAATGGTGGTCATGGACAGGCTTCATGATCGCTTCCAAGAAACCCTTTGGCTTGAGTGGTCTGGATGGATGTGATACGGTCCTGCAATTCCAGATGTGCAGTGACGATGGGGCTCAATATTAGTGCACCTATGGATATTGAGATCGATAGCAGGTATGACTTGCTCCAGCGCTGCAACCGTGAAAGCATGTGGTAAGAGATTGAAGATATAGATTCTTACCTGTTGATATTGTCACCGCTTTGTGCACCATGGTACCCATGACAAAGATTCAATACCTACAAGAGTGAAGAGCTCCATGAGAAGATCATGTCCAACCGCAAGGAGTGGTATCCCGTTGTTTGTTGCCTGGCCTAGATAATTGAACGACGTTTTGAACTTGGCCGCGAAGTGTTGATGGAGAATCTTGGCCCTCCTTGATTTGAGAATTTAATTGTTGTATGGACATGATGGATAAATAATTCCGGAAAAGTCATTGATGAACCTTCAGAAATGATCCGTTTGGACCAATGCATATATGGTTTGGTTGGAGAAACCGGCATCCTATAACAGAAAATCATAGGAATATTATTGTCCTCTGCCAAGATGACAGACAAACTCAATATACTTTGCGATAACAATATTGGCATGAACATCTTGAAGGAAATAGGACGAAGAAAGATGAGAAATGGCCGAAGCCTCTATGTCAAGCTATCCTTCAAGAAGTTTTGGAAGAAATTAAATTATAGGTCACCCAAAATGCCTTCCCTGCAGAATACAAGATTAAGGCCAACAAGGGCATGGATTCTTTGGATGGCATTGAAGATTTGGACGACGTAGTTGAATAGGTCCACAAGTGGAGGCGAGTGCATTTAAACACCTTAGATACAGAGGAGGGTTATGAGAAGAGCCACGATAGCCCTAAATTTCTATATGAGAAGGAGAAGATAAGAAAATAGAAATGTCCAAAATTCAACAGAGAACAATGTATCGTTGTCCATCGCCAGCACCAAATGATGGATCATTGCAATAATCAAGCACTTGTGAGGATGCTTCGATTTTCGATGCGCGAGAAGGGGGGTGATCGAAGTTGCTCAATATTGACAGGGGGCAGAACTGTAATGAGATCCAAAATAATGAATGCCCAAGGATAATGAGACCTGTGAACCCATGCCACCAGATCAAGTTCAATGATGAATTGGCAATTGATGTCTTTGAAATTATTGATGGTTTAATTGATATGACCACCCACTACCATATCGTGATATATATGGCACGTGGTGGAACCCCACCTTCGAAGATCTGCGTTGAAGAAATCATTTCTAGTTGGTTGTTTTGGGCTGGCGCGCCTCGGGCATTCATTTATAATCAAGGTGTCCGCAACCGAGGACGAAATTCAATTCTACTTCAATCCCAGGGTATTGAATTGCGGAGGATTGGTGCAAGAATACCACGCCAATTTGGAACAATAAAACAACATGGTGGTCTGCTGAAAGAGATGCTGAAACGAGCAATTCATCATCGGCAATTCTTTGGAGCTTCTGTGGTCTTAGCACTCTGCTCCGAATACGCAAGGGCAAAGAATGGGATCAACAATCAACAATTCTTTCCTATTCAATGGGTGCTCGGACACATACCAAAAGATCTTTCAAATTTGGCTTCGCAAGACCCAGAGAACCATCTTGGTGTATATCAAGGCCTTATCGATACTGAAGAGAAGATCCCTCAGGAATAATTCATGATGCAATTTTTGATGAGGCAAGCCGCCAAGGAGATTTTCATGCAAGTTGATGCCTTGCAGTGAATCCGCAAGGCGTTGCTGAGGAAGGTGGTGCCGCTTCGAGGATCTTACAGAATTGGTGATTTTGTCTAGTTTTCAAAGCAGGTGGACCGGCAAGAATTCGTACCGTAGAGGGCAAATCTTTATTGTGGTTGGCGCATGGAAGTATAACTATTTTGGTTGCTAAAATTTCATGCCGATCAGTGTCGACCCAACAGATCATGAGACAGCATATTTTGGAACTTCGTCTTCCTCGGAAATGCAAAAGAGAGCTCTATTCCATTCATCCCGAAGATGAAATACACGTTCCCTTTGTAAATGTCGGTCAAGAGGCCAGAGTTCTCCGGCAAAGAACAGATCATCAAGCACCGTTCATCGATATGCAAGATCGTTATGTTGGAATCAATCCGCTCCACCTACTGCAGAAACCACAGATTCCGCCGTGGGTAATCCGGTGTCCTTGGTCCACGACGATTCATCCAAAATGGATATGGAGGTTCCTCCTGATGAGGAGATAGCGCTGGAGGTTGAACCGTTAAATGAATCTTCACCTCCGCCAGGTCTTCAATTGGCACCTTCAGGCATGAGCAATATGAACAACCTTCCGTTTCAACCTAAGTTGGAATATAGCCCACAAGTAATACCTAGATACGAAGAGGAGATTGTGACAGAAATCCCATTGACTCAAGCTCTCCGCCGCAATCCAGACATCCTTGACGGTAGCTACCGACCTCATGGCAACAATACAACAAATTTTGCTCGGGAGATAAGCATCCGCCCAATGCCGTCGATTGCCTTCTTGATGAATTGCCAACAACACAAGATCAAGAAGAAATGTCCAAAAGACTAAGAAAATTGGAATTGGCTGAGAATTTCAATTCAAAAAGGAAAATAAAGGGATGCAAACTAAATTGATCGAAATCAAGAAGAAGGAATGCAGCAATTGGACAAAATACACAGATGGCAAATGGCTCTTTGAAGACCAATTGCGAGAGTTGAAGAAAGACATTCTCGATCCGGTGGGTCGATGTTTTCAATAAAAGAAGATGTTCTCAAAAACAGGCTCGTGATTCGATGAGATTTAGAAGATAGCTCGAAGATGAGGATAGATAATCCTACCTGCTCTATTGCGATGATGTCGCTCAGCTTGGTGTTTATTGCCTGCAGAAACATTAATTTCTGAATTGGGTATATTTCAGAAGGCTTCTCAGGAATCCAAATTGGATCGCACGTTGGTATTATCCATGCCACGTGGAGGAATTCCTAGAGAACCTGAAGGCAGCTACTATATGATGTCTTTGATAGTCTACGGCACAAAGAACCTCCATGGATCTCGCCTTGAACAAAACTTCACTCCAATACCTCATGAGGCAGCAACATACAATTTGAGAACATCAGAAGGATAATTGGCAGGCTTGGTTGGGGTCTCCATCGATGATTTATTATGGATAGGGGTCTCATAATTAAAGAATGCATGGAGACGATCTGCCAGAAATACAAATTTAGCAAGTTCTCAAAGAATGAATTCCGTTATTGTGACAGGGAGGTCAAAAAAGATGAGAATGGAGTACATGTTATATGCCCCAATTTGATGGACCGGATAAAATTGATATTTCTATCAATTGATCAAAAGATTAAAGATATTCGTGGTCCTAATATGGGGAAAGAAAATTTGAAGAATATCATTAATAACCTAGCATGATTAACAAGGGTAAGAAAATCCGACCTCTCGTATGCCGTGAATTTTTGTCAAATCAATTTCATAAATCATATATATCGATATAATCTTCGTGAAAGACTTCCAAACACAAGCGAATCAATTATCCCTTAATGCCATTCCAATTTGAAGAATATATAATTATTATCATCCAAAATATATCGTCCACAAATGATGCCGACATTAACAACTCTTTCGTAATCAAAATAAACGCCTAATTTGCTTAGCCCACAAATCCTTTCAATATCTTCATCAAAATATATATATTTTATTAAATTGGTATGCAATATATTAATATTTTCCGCCGTAATTATCGATCAATTTTCCATATACAAATAATATTTATAATCATAAATATAAAACAATATAAATATTTGAGATTTATTTTATATAAGCCATAATATAAATATAATAAAAATTATCAAATATAAAATAATATATCAATTGTAAATATATTATATAATCTAAATTATAAATATCGAATATAATTAATTATCAATCGATATAGATTCGACACGATAAATAATTTAATCAATATCTTTATATTAAAAATTAAAATTCTTAATTTCAATTAATTATTTCACGAAAATAATCTATTCAAAATAAATACATAATAATATAAACAAATATTATATATATAATATCAATTTAAAAATAAAAAGATTATATATAGAATTTAATTTCATAAAACAAAAATTATAATATAAATATAATTCGTAAAAAAATAACTTATATTATAATATATATATTTTCATTTGATATAATATTACTATATTATTATTATATAGAATATAATAAAATATATATATTAGATTATTCAATATTTACATATTTATTTCCAAATATATTTAAAATATAATTACCTTTCGTAATATTATTAATTATCTAATTAAATATATATTATATGTATTCTAAACCATATTTATATATATATATATATATTTGTTTTCCAAATAACCGATTCATCGAACATTATTATATAATATTAGGATTCCTCAATGCCAACCTTCGCTGCCAAATCCAATACCTCAATGTGGATTGTCTGATATGTGTTTTTTCAAAAAATGAGGATCATGACAAACAGTTTTGATGCAATGCGACACGACAATCCCTCCAACGGTTAAAACAGTCACGTATCCTCTCCTGCAAACCATTTGGATAGAATTTGATGCGTGAAATTGCCCAGTTGCCTCCTGCAGTTTGGCAATCAACTTCTGTCTAGCTTTCGGCAGTTGATCAGACTGCACAGCCACCTGAAACAGCTGTGCTTTCGCTCAGAGTTTGGGTATGTGTGGGTAAAACATGCGGTACGAACACTTCTTTTGAAAGTGCTGTTTCTATGTGTCATGCAACAAAGACCAAGGAATCCAATTAAAAATCAACATGGACGGAGCAAAACAAATCCATCTTGCTCTGACAACCATGCTATGGACAGTGGCAAGCCTCAAAAATACCAATTGCATCCTCCATGAGAAAGTAGACCTTGCAGGAATACTCAGTTGAATCTCAAAAAACACCAGCCCATTGCTTCTGAAAACCACGCAGGACCCGTAAGGAAAAGTTTGCTGGCACATGAATTTGATCGAATTTGTAGACAGTCATGGATCAGTCTTTGAAACCCAAACCCATCCTGATTGCTTCTGAGTGGAGCGTCCGCAGGCAAACCCCTTTCTGCGATATATGTCTCGCCATACCTCTGGACTAGCTGGCCAGCCTTCTGCTCAAGGGCACCTTGGAAGACACATTCACTTTCCTTGAAGAAGACCTTAACTAAAGTATTCGGTAGCCAATATATGCTACTAATATCAGTATGTGACAAACGAACTCAAACTGCAAAACCCTCAAAAGAACAAAGACATCAAAAGGCCACCGCATCAAATCAAAAGAAACACCCAAAGCTGGGCATGAGCAAAACCACGCGGCTCAAGGTCTTTTCTGCTTCCTCACCGATGAATGCATCGCCGACGCTTTCTTCAGCTTCCAATGCTTCTTTGAGTGCTTGCGCCGTCGGCACCACAGAGTCTCGGTATGCTTGGGGCAACGGTGCCTGCTGCAGTCGAATCACATCAGCCGCTGCCTCCCGCAAGGGACGGAATATGACAGAACATGGTGACGGGTTGTTCCAACTTCTTACTCTTTTAAAGATAGATAGTTATGTTTATGTTTAATGAACTGTTGAGACCTTTGATCACTGGATCTTGGAATGCCAAGCCACTGGAAGTTGATCCAATCCCATGACGCACGCTCCCAGAAGACCACGACGGCCCAAACGGCCGTCGAGACGGCCGTCGCCAGGATGGCCACCACTGAGCCATGCAGGTGAAGCGATGAGCACGAACATGGCCGAGAAGAAGAGAAGGGAGCCGGAACGGGTGGCATGGCGCGCCATCGTTTCAAGATTCAGCAAAAGAACATGGAATTGGAAGAATGTCTGTTGTGTGAAGATAGGTAATCCTTGTAACTTGTGAGAACGAAGCTGATGGAATGGTGAATGTCAGGTCCAATTCAATTGCTGGCACATGTGGCACCTCATCTTTCTTTGCAAAAGCGATCTCAGAGTGTGTGAGTACGTGTCCACAGGCCATCTCCCCCAAGTCAATTAAGCCAGAGTCGGTCAACCACGTAGACAAATAAAAGCAAAAGCCTAGGTATCCGAAGCATCAACCCTTCAAACTTGCTGTACACACACAAATGCATAAATAAACATGTCAACAAAAGTAACAAAATGCCCTCCCACTTCAAGTACTTATTCAATGAACCCGAAAGCAAAGGCCCATGCTCGGCACTCCATTTTGGTCCTGAGCCAATCTTTGTGGCTGAATTCAGCTCATCATCCGTTGCCAACTCAGATTCCACCTCACGTGCAGCCGGTCTGATGTATCAATACGACGACCCATCCGGGTCAATGAAGAGGCCTGCATGTGCATACAAAGCCATCCACAAGAATGTGTCTTCCACTTGAGTGGCACCAAGAAATCAACATTCCAAATGTTTGATCACAGTAAGAAACTCATGAAACTCCTTGCAACTGCATTGTTGGACACCAGCCAAAGAAAACATGGGGGCGACCGAAAACCACCAACTCACCGAGTCAAGCGCCTCCTCTTCTTCACCACCCTCAGCGACCTGAAGCGATTTCGCCCAGATTGAAAAATGACGGCAGGGAGGCAGGGAAACCTTCAAAGAAAAACACACACGTGCAAATGGCCATTATTGCCTGATATGTCCTGTATTGTGGTAATTACCACTCAACTCTTTCCCTCTCTGCTGTTGGACGACATCGGTGAAAAACTGTCTTCCCACTCCGCCTCTCCGAAACGCGTTTGTCGGTCCCGGAACCCGCTGGCAAAGTGCACCGACTGAACCACCGATGGCAACTGACCCCTCGTCGAGTGCCTCGGACAAAGCTGTCCCCAATCTGGCAAAGTGCACCTTGAGCTGAGGAAGAACAGTGTGATTCATGGTCACACATGTCCCGTCTTCATGGGTGTTGGAGATGCGCAGCATCCGCACCTCCTCCTCCTCCTCTCCGTGGGTCACTCGATCAGGTTCACCTAGGCCCTGGCCAGTTGAAAATAGATTGAGCAAAACTAGCTATAGATCAGACTTGAGCAAAAGCTCTGTTGACAATTAGAGATTTGTGGAAGTTTGTAGATGAGAACCTTTTTCCAGGGGAAGAATTAAAACAATTCAAGCAGAAAAGGTGGTGTTAGAATTGATAGTTTTGAGTTGAATAAATGATAATGAGTTTAACAAACACCATATTTTAGCAGGGAATGTGAACAAGTGACAAAAGTTAAGGATGATTTATATAAGCCTGGAATCAAAAGTTCTGTCATGTTCAATCTTTTTGTCAGATGCTCGTCACGGCCTGTTCAAACCGGTTCAAACCTTCGGTTCAGAACGAAAAAAGAGACACCGACGGTCCGAGTCGGTACCCTGTCAACGACCCAACGGAGCGGTGTCGGTACGAGCCAACGGAGCGGTCGGAACCTGTGCGGCGCTGGCGCTGGCGCTGGCGGCCCTGGCCCGGTGGCGCCGTTGATACTTCCAGCTTTGTGTCAGGCAGTCAGGCACCAAAGCTGGAAATGTCATTCAGGCTCAAGGCTATAGGCTATGCTATAGTATACCTACAGCATACAGTAGCCAAAAGTAGACAGCAATGAATCTGCAACGTGACATATGCTTTGCCCCAATGGCTTGGAAGGCGTACCGTAAAGCTTTCGACAAAGCTGCAGCCCTGGACTTGGCATCAGGCCCCATCTTGCCTCGCAAAGGTACAGGCGGGGCACCCACTCACAATCTATGGAAGTTCGTTGACCATGTTAAGGACGGCTGTTAATATTTGCGGCCTTGGAACATCGTATCTTCCGAATAAAGCACCCTATCGAAGTATTGATCAACAGGAGCAGGTCAAACAGTGTTAATTGCCCATTTCTGACATAGTGTATAATCCCTTCCACCTATTAATAAACACGGCTCCCCCCATATTAACAAAACTCGGGTGAATTTTGGAAATATGGGGTCCCTGAAATGGGCGTTGTCCAAAATAGGGTCAGTGGGAGGATCCTTGAATCATTGATTAATTGTATATGAAATGCAGATTTCGTGGCATGCGCAGCGCTTTGCGAAGCTTGAAGTGCAGATTTCGTGGCAGGTGCAGGACTTTGTAAACCCGCGCTGGAAGTGCAGATTTTGTTGCGTGCGCCCGCTGCATTTTTTCAACCGTGAAGTGTCGATTTTGTGGCAAACGCAGAAATTTGTGTTCCTGGAAGTGCAGATTTCGTGGCAGGCGCAGGACTTTGACAGAGAGCCAAACAGTCCGCTACACAGCTGAAACGAGAGAGGCAGGCAGCCAGTGGAGGGACAGGCAGTAGAGCATTTTGGAGCGTCAGCAACACAACATGGTCGATTTTGAGGGAGTTCTGGAGGAACCCAATAAGAATAACTATATACACCAAAATCGACCATGTTGGTAGTTTAGTAGCAGTTTTTAAAGGGCGGTAATTGAAAGCAAATATATAAACTATAAACCGTATTTACCAGCTTCTTCAAAGTGAGCTTTTTGGGGGTCTTTCCAGGCCGAAGTGACCTCAAATCAGGGGATAAAAAGGTCACTTTGAAGAACTCCGACATGAATATATAGGTAGTCGGGATTCGATCGTGACTTCAGTGGGGTTGGGCCAATTTTATTAGATCAGGTTCAATGTTCGTTTGGCCGCATGGTCTGTGGCAACAACTGCCTCATAACCAGAATGAACAACCAAAAAAGAGGGAAGTTCAAAAGGCAATATAGATTGACAGGGTCATGGGCCCAAGTGAGGTAAGAAGAGCTTTTCATGTTTCCATGTGCGTTCCTGATGATGCAAGTAGACGGTGCTGGTAGACACACTGGCAATTAAACCAGAAAAAAAACAAACATAATAAAGGCCACCAGAAACACAAATGCGGTTTGTTCTCTAATGCAGCATCTCTGACAAACGTGCGAACAACAGGCAAAATACTTGACACTAGTGAGCATAATCAAAACTGGCTTTGTGTGTCTTTGTGTAGTGCTTCAATGCTTCCTTCTTTAACACATACGACAAAATATCATTCTTGTCACCCAAAGCGATGGCAGCCCTTTTCCTTTGCATAGTTTAATCATTCTTGGCCCTGGGCAATACCTCAACCCTGTGGATGAACAGTGAGTGTTTTCAAGTCCGCACGGTGCATTTAGATGTAATTACTTTGTTACTTTGAGAACTTTTTCCTGAGTTCTCCATTTTGCTCTGGACTGCTGGTAGCCCAACAAAAGGCATGTAAAATGAACAGAACCTTTTTGAAGAAGCATCGCTCCAACATAAAATTCCATGATTGCTAACATCCTTTACAAACTTCTATGTATCATAATCAATCTGTGTCAAAAGTTGGCAAATCGCGACCTCCAGTATCCTAAAACGTCGCAGTTCTATAGAACTCATTGGGCTGCATCTAGTGCCACGTGCCGGTCGCTGTCCTGGGAGATACCAAGCGTTACGTTTCTCAGCACGGCTCCTGTGATCTCCTGTGATCCTTCCAACACTCCGATCAAACCTCTAGGCTTGTAGGACTCAAAAACGCCTGAGAGGTGTGTGTGTGTGTGTGCCCACACCGCGGTCCAAATCCGTGAGGTTCGGACTCCGAACTTTGGACAGAACAGTTCGGAGTACTTGCGCAAAATATGACCGGCCCTGGTCTTGACCCCACATCTCTTGCCCTGTGGCTCTTGGGCCGTGTGGCCTCTCCTGATTGGCTCGCTGCCGCTGCAGTCTTCCCGCAAAGTGTCCCTCCATGTTGCCCCCAGCATTCTGAGACACGTTGCAGCTGTAGAGCTCATGCCGAGCTCAACAGCTTGCATCGACGATGGCTGGCTGTCGGAATTGACGCGCAGGTGTGGGGGCCGAGAGGCATCTGTGGAAGAGGCAGCTTGTGGCGCAAAGTAATCAGAAATCAGAAAAGGAGTGAAAACGCTAGTAAATGCCTTTCTGCCCCTGTGACCCCCTGTCCATTCTCATGCGAAGAGGTTAAGGAACCACTCATGACGAACACATTGTCTGGCATTGGCAAGCGTTCGATCAGTCCTCCAAAGCATCAGTCCATATATTGTATGTGTGGATCCATGGCACATGCTGCTCCTCAATGCCAGCTCAGCAGTAACATTTCACAGCCAAAGTGTGCCATAGAATTTCCACAGTTCCAATCATGGAAGCCGCAGCATTGGTGTTTGGTCCAGGATTTTGTCTGGTTTTCCCACTGCCAAACAGGCCGCCCAGATTCCACCAGCTTTGACCCTTGGGACCAAGCGGTTGACAACCGTGCGGTTTACAACCGTGGACGGGGCGACGAAAAAGAGATACAACATCGGTGGAATTCTTTGCAGGGCCATTGAATGGGTGCTGATAGCAGCTAAGCCAACTGTCGGAGATTCTCCAGATCGATGATCCAAAGAGTTGGATCGTCAAAAGTGGTCACACACACGTCACAGACACACACACACACACTGGGAAGAGCGGCGTGTTCTACTGCACGCAATTCTGCATGAGAAAGGCTCCCGATTGATTAGTCGTAGAATGCCACTCAGCCAATCAGGATTGTCAGGATTGTTTCATGTCCTATCTTGTCTATGAGGTCTATATGAGGTTCTATTATAATGATTTATACATATTTATACCCTGGGCATTCGTTCCATCATGTCGCTCACACCTGGGCAAAGGCATCCACCAAAGACCTCGCCTAGGGCACGATGCAGCACCACATCGCGCACCGGAGTAGGCTTTGTCCCGGGACCTGCTCCAGCTTTGAAGCGACGGTCTGGCTCAGTCTGCCTCCAAAGACTTCTAAATTCTCAGAACTAGTCCGATCTGGTCCCATCATCTCCCATCTACTTTCCTTGCAACTTGGGTGAATTGGTGGGGTCTGGAACTGGGTTTTGTTTTGCCCCACCAGTTCGCAGAAGTGCTGCTAGCGCACCAAAGAAGTGCTGCCAAGTGGCACAGCCGAGACAGTCCCAAAACAAAGTTCTCTGCAATCAGCTCACTCTCTGCCTCAAAATCAGCAGGACTAGCAACCAAGCACTAGCCACCTCTGTTGGAAGGATGTTTCACATTTCACAAGAGAAATACCGTCACACACAAAAAATACGCACCCGACCGTCCTTGACCCAAGGTGTGATCCGATTGGAACCAAAAACCCCCTTGATATGCTCTGCCTTGTTGCTGAAGGTTTTTTGAGGATAAATATATATATATATATGCAAGCTAGATCAAGCTACCATGATGAAGAGTCTAAACCAACTTGCATCCAGGTATAGACGTCCAAAATTCTTAGTGGCCAAGCCAGCGCAGGAATGACGTCTTGTTGAAATGTGATTTGGACCCTTGTCTCTTCAACAGCATCTTTTTTGGGGAAACTGCAGAGCCAACATATGCCTTTATAGCCCTGGCAACCAGGCCTTGAAATGAAATGACCGCTGTGCTGTCCACACGGAAAAGCAGCACCAGGGTTTAGTCACCTGGCAAAAACGGCAATACTTGAATTCATCATCTTTCGAAATTCCTTGTGCTACATACAGTATATTGACTATTGGCTATTTTTTAATCATGGTTTGATGTTGCTTGAACTAATGCTCAATCCCATTCCATATACACTCTAATTACATACGTAATATGTCTTTCGTGCTGCGGAAGAGAAACCACTCTGCAACGTCATCAGAAACCACGCCTGTGCTTTGTGGCGTGCCGGCAAGGCTTCAGCACCGAAGCCCACATGCACGATCTAGAAGAAAGCATCAAGGCACACCAAAAACACACAGAATATAGCTTTGAGTCTTCAGCATGATTCAAGGATATATATATATATATCTTGGACTCTGAAACCTTAGGTTGTCTATAAATATATGAGCCACAGTCAAGATCTATTACTATAAATCAAAGGTCACCCGGGGTTTGTGAGTAACCTGCATGTTGATCAGATTGTGTAGTTGTTTTTTTTGGCTGAGTGTAGAATCAATCATTCTTTGGCTAAATCCTTTGTTTTGAGATCCCATGTATTCTGAGGTTCATCTCTCCACTCATTGTGTAGTCTTCCGCATAAAAACAAATATACTATAGCAGCCTGACTGCCAGCTCGAATGAACCAAAAGTCAACCTGCTTACAAAGATCAGCTTGCATCATGCTGCATTTATACGTCTGTGACAGGACCAAACATTGGAACGGACGATAATGAAATATAATGAACTTTGGCTTGGACTCCAACATTGTGTCCATCCTCTCATTTCCCAGTCATTTCATCACCCACTGGCAGGGCCTCTTGGAGGCCCACAGAGCTTGGGCGTCGTAACTTTCGCCTGCCTGGCGACGATCCTCTCATTTCGCGTTGTTGCGATTGGGATGTGGAAAAAACAGCAAAAGAGTCTTCTGCGGTCTGAATGTTCAATCAAGTAGAGTCAAGTATTGTCAAGTACAAGACATGAAGACCTATCAGCACCCATGACACCTGAATCAAAGAGAAACCCGGCTAAAGCACTTCTTAGCTTAACATAGCTTACCACTTTTTAAAGCTGTTCTTTGTGTCACGCTGTCCAAACCGGGCACCAGAATCGACCTGGGAGGTCACCGTCCGGTCACTGCCACGACTGAAATCGGGTCGAGTTGGCCCGCATCTTTGGACCATTTGAGACTCTCCGGTGCTGCGGGCGGTCCCTGAGTCCGACGGTCTTTCGTCTGTCTGTCTTTCGCGACGTGGTAACGGCACGAAACGGCGTTGAAACGACGCAACGGGAAGCCATGAGAAACGAATGAAACTCACCACAAGCATCGTGAAGAATTGAGACACATCCGTTTCAAACAAATCCTACATGCTGTCATGCAGGTAGTGCGGCGGCTGCAAATTCACCGTCTTGTTTGGCAGGCAAAATGCCGCAAATTTTGCCGGGAGAAAGAGGGACTAACGTGAGACTCCAAACGCAATGAGACTCCAAACGTGAAGCATATCACAATAAGAGCCAGTAATTAGATGTTGCTTTGTGCCCAACGGCGTGGCTCATGTCTGTTCACAAACAGCTGTCTTGGTCCCTGACTGGCGTGACGGCCATAAATCGTTCCTGCCATTTTCCATTGGCTGCCTGAGCAGTGCTTGCACTTCTGAAGAAGGATGCTACCAATGTGCCAACACCGATAGCCAATGTTCCTACGACAGTATCTACAGTGCTGTGTTTTTGGCCACGGATCCTACACACGCATGCACAGGTGTCGTGTACTGCAAAATACCACATTAAGTTCCCCAACGCATAGTTTCCAAACCACCTCGCCCTTGGATAGCATGTCCAATGAGCGCACCTTGCGAAAGCTTGTGGCATCTTTAGTCGCTGCACCATCTCAGACCTTTTCCGGAACCACTTCCCCTTGCGACCCTTTCCTACATACGTAGATTCTGGATAGCACACAATACAGACCTGTCCATACCGGTCGTATGCACATTCGTTAAACTGCCGGTTGTTGATCCCAAGTACTCTCTCAAAGACACATCAGATTCAAACCGGATAAGCTGCTTCGAACTTCAAGCTATATATAATCAAAAGTAGATGCTGCTCGGATGATTGCCACGAACGCAACTCTTCTGAAACAGATTCTTCCAAGTGCCCAACAACCAGGCCTTGTGGAACTTCTTGTGCACCTTGCAGGTTTTGGCACTATGATTCATTGGTTTGATACACTCCATTGATAGGGCAATAGCTGATGTACCAGGTAGTGCACTTCGATTGTTATGGTAGCCGGTGATCGATAACCCAAAGAAGTGAACACTGAAGATTATTGAACAGTGTTGAGAAGCATGGCAACCAGCCCCTTTCCAATGTTATCAAAAACATGAGAACGCTCATCGAAGCAAGATCGGCGGGCTTGCGTTTCGCACGTGTTGCAGCCCTGGAAGATTTCACCTTGAAACACCGCTACATCGAGTCACAGAACTTGCACAACTGATGACAGCGTGTCCTGGGAAAGACATGCTGGACATGCACATGAAAAGCATTGAAAAGCGTTCGCAACGTTGAATGCCAAACCAAAGCTGTATGTCAATCATTGTAAACACTGGATTGTCAATCATCGTACGGTAACTTACTTCAAAGTAAAACACCGTGCAGGGTAGTCAGCAGTGGTGGTCAACTTACCAAGTCAAATCTGACCAACACACACATACATAGACATAGTATATGAACTTAACTATCTAGTTGTCCCAGAGTCGAGTTAGCACTGCCCTCAAAACACTTTCCGACAAGATGCACTATGAATTGTTTATGACTGGAGTACTTCGACCATGTCTGGGCTGATAACACTCCACCTCAAAACAGCTGATGTGTTGCGTTGCATGGTAGAACATTGAAGTGTCAACAGCAGACCCCGAGCTTTCAAGAACAGGGTAAGTCACCGGTTCAAGGAAGCGGCAAACACTCCTCATAGAGACAGTGACACAGTTAGCCCACTATATAGACATGACAACGAGGTAGTGCACCCTTTAATCAATCGGCAACATCCTAGTTTGCTGCTCTGTCTTAGAGCAACTCCTGCAAATTTCTGCAGGTTTTTTCCATGTTCATCTGTTTTGCAATATCTACTTGCTATATGCCGTACATTGTTACGCTATATGCCGTACATTTGCCTCGTGTTCCTGCGACACGTTTCAAGGACCTGACTCCGCGAGACGCCCTTCACCTGAGCGATGGCATCCGCCACGTAGGAGACGTGGCCCGGATGGGCAATCCGTCCACGGAAGGGCTCGGGTGCCATGTAAGGCGAATCCGTTTCCAGCAAGATACGATCCAAAGGAACTTGTTGGACCACGTCCCGAACTTCTGGGGCATTGGCGAAGGTTACCCCACCAGTGAAGCCCAAACGCAGGGATGAAAAGCGTTGCAACAGGGACTGTGCCAAGGTATTGGAGCTCGTGAAGCAATGCACATGGACAGGGTGCGAGTCAGGTAAATGCTTCTCCAGCAGCTCCAGTGTGTCCTCTTCTGCAAATCTGGTGTGAACGACCAGTGGCTTGTTCAACGAAACAGCCAGATTGATTTGCCGCGCAAAGACTTCACGTTGTAGCCCACGAGTTCTTTCATCTTTGACCTGGGAAACAAACCGCTGAAGGATTGATGTCTAAGACTTCAAGCTTGCACCAGCAATGAAAACAAACAACTCGTATTTTCCCGGTCACTTGCCCACGTGTCATCTTGTCAAAGTAGTCGAGGCCACACTCCCCCCATGCCACGACTTTGTCCATAGACATCATCCGCACCAATTTCTGCTCGACCTTTCAGGCCGGCGGGGAGTAACGCATGTAAACATGCCACAAAAAAAGTTGCCACGCAAGCATGTTCATGTCAGACTCACCAGAATGTGCGAACTCAAAGAATCACTCACTCCTACTGAATCTTGGCAGCCCAGCAAGTTCATGATTAAGGTGCTGGCATGGATATTCAAAAACTTGCATGGTTGTGCCCGTACCTCGCTATCCCATTCATCCGCCCGTAGTGGATGTATGCCAAAGGCTCCATAGATGCCATCCTTGGTGTGATGAAACAGAACTAGTCGTGCCCAAGAAAGTCAATAATGGAAGAAGCCATGGCAAATCAAAAGCATCAAAGTCAAGTCAAAGGGGCAAAGAACCCTTCTGCAACTCTATAGGATTGAATCACTTTTCGATATAATATAACCTCATTGCTGGCAGTTCATTTAAAAAGATTAAAATCACCAAGTGGTTGACCGGTTGATCTTCCAACTCACACCCAGCGTCATATTGCAAGAAGGACGCAGCAACGTCCAAGGCGGCTTTACCACAGCCGATATTCACACAGGCTTCCAGGCCCTTCTCTGGGCCTACCAAAGAAGCGCGCCATTCCTGGTGTGTTCCGGCGAAGGGGTGGAGAACGCAGTGGGCCCATGCAGTCCATGTTTTGGGCCGGAAACGAACAACATAGGAACTCGCTGAGAGTCAAATAGCTCAGTGGTCATTGCAGTGAATTTGCTATATATAGCCATATAGCGGTCTGGGAATCAGACTGGAACTGCGAGTCAGACTGGACATTTATGGGCGCTTCAGGTGAGAATACCATGATCACTTGTTTTCGCTCCTCGTAGCTGGCGTTCAATATCCTTGGAGGCAAATCCCCTCGCGCCTTTGCTTTTCGAGCATCCTCACTGAGGGTCCGAGGAGCTTTCGCCGAAAGAAAATGGCCCTATATTGTATACATTACTGTATACGTATCCTTGTTTGACAATAATAGTTATTTGTTTGCATTATTGTCTTTTACTTTACATATTGCATCATATTGCATCCGTGTTGCGCATGCTTTGCAACCATCAATCAGTACATTGCCAAATTGTTGTCCATCCGCATGCAAACATTTTAACTTGTCTTATTACAAGAGGGGCAACCAAACTGCAAACCAAAACGACTCAAAACAACAGTCCTCATGGCTCTGCCGTGAGAGTCGGGGGATGACCATGTCCAAATGGCAGTGCGTATCCACAAACTTCGTAACTGCCTCACCATCCAACGGTCTTAACTTCTCTTTGTAGCGACCACTCAAGGACCGCTTTGCCGGAGTGCTTGGCGTGGTCACTGAGCTTCTTCTGCGACCAAAGGCGCTGAAGGCTGGTCTTGGCCGAAAGGAAAGGACGTTGAAGGCTGTCAGCGGCACCACCAGCCAGCCGACGCGGTACACACGATGCGTCATGGGTGTAGGCTTGAAAATGGAAGAGGTCACTCAAAAAGAAAGAGTTTCTAAATTCAATTTGGTGCTACTTGCGAACTTCTCTAATCATACAATACACAGCCAAGTCTTGCCTTCTTGTTGAACCACACTTGAAAGAACAACACTTAGACCTGGGATCTAGATAAAGCAACCACATGGTGGGCAAACGTGTTTTCGAGGCCAGGAATTCTGAACTTTGTCTTTAAAACTAGGTTCTTACCGGTATCTTCTGGAGGCTTGGGCCATTGCATCGATCACCAAATACAGTGAATGCATAGCACACCAAACGAATCACCACATAATTCCAGGATCGCCTATCAGTGTTAGTCACGTTATATTAGACATATGTCATTATCCATCTTGGAAGCTCCCCAGCTATCAAGGGGGCATGGGCGGCTTCAAACGACCTGCAAGGCCGAGGGACAGCTGACCTTTCGATTTGGTTGGAGGCCATCACTATTACAAGTAGGGCGGGGAGCGGGCAACAAAAACAAAAACACGATAGAAACATCAACTCAGCGGCTGACCTCCCTTTTGGCCTCCGCGACGCCTGGCTTGAAACCGTCAGCGGTCGACATCGAAGCGACGAGCCGTCGAGCGAAGCGAATCGACGGAATCCGGGAAGCGTTCCGGCTCGATCCGTATTGGTTATCCTTTCCTAATGGTCCTAGCCTTAACGCCTGTTCCCACAGGCTACCACTGCGTATCTGTCCGGAGGTTGGCTAAGAAATGCATGTAAACCTTCATAGTTGTGCCTTGTTGAGCTTGTTCCAGGTCTGCCTGGAGCGTCAGCACCTTGGCGTCTCGGTCGGCCCCCGTTTCGAAGGTAGCAGGCTGTGTTGAGATAAGCCTCTTTAGCTATCACTTGCCATTCTGACTTCACGACATGGGCCATTTCATGAAACTGCTGCATTTTTTGTCAAACAAAACATACCTTCTGGCTCCTACACCAAACTGCTGGGCAACAGAAGGCAAACTGTGGTTCTGGATTTCGATGAATTTCGTGGCTCCTCTCCGCCCACAAGGAACTTGCAAAGCATGTTGCAGCGAGAATCAACGAACACCGATTAATCCCGCAAAGGACTCTATTGCTGATATACAAAGGGGGATTACAAATCGACGTCTGTTTCATTGGGGGGACTACAAATCATCCAGCACCGGCGTGCGATCCAAATCGCAAAAGTCCGCTGATTGCGCCTGATCTTCGGCGTGCGCCTCGAGCGGAGCATGTTTGCCGCATGAAAAAAATCCGGAGCAGATCTGCGCAGTTCGGCTGCGCAGCAGTTAGGCTGCAGCAAGACGCGTTTTTTGTATTGTTTCTTGTTCATTTCGTCCAATGATCTTGTGATGACTTCCATGTGTCTTTTTTGTTTGGAAGTCCATGACTGAAGTCTCACCTCTGAACTTTGCAAAAAAGCACGAAATCCAATCAACCCACTGGATGGATTAGTAGCTGTGTGGCCCCACCTTCTGAGCTTCTAACCTCAACATGCAAAGACTCTTCATACAATGCAAACATATTTGTTGATTCATGACATCTAGATCATCTAGAATCTAGACATTTTTGTTGATGTTGGAAGACTCAGCCAACAGCGGCATCTTCCGTATCACTAAGACGACGCCTTCAAACCGTGAGGTACCGAGGTGGCCACTGTGCGTTCTTGGCCTCCACTGCCAGCAACTCGTCGTTCTTCCTGCGCGAACGGAGATTGTCGTTAGCGTGTTGAGTGAGAATTCCTACAAGTAGGCCCCAAGTAAGACAATGAGCAATAGCATGGTGGTGTGGACCATGATTCACTTCCAGCTTGAATACCTGCGGACACACTTGCTCCTGTGCAGACGTTCTTGCAACTCCAACAAGGCTTCACCTCAATGCAGGGCCTACTGCTCAGTCAGCAACAATGTTTCTGCAACACTCGACCACAAAATCATCCAAACTCTTCAAACAAAGGTGCACAATGGTGTAGAGTGCAGAGTACTCTATCTTCCAAACCATGGTTTGTGAACTCTCAACTCAACATTGTATCTGAGATTAAGCTCCTCTAACTAGACACTGGATTTGGCTGTGTGATGCTGTGGGCATCCCTGCGTGTGGTGTGCCCACCCTGCCGCAGTTTCAATGAACAATCGCAGCTGGGAGCTTCAGGAAGATTTGGTCACAAGAGTACTTCCTGTTGGACTCCAACTGACTGAGTTTCAACATTTGGTGTCATTTTGATTCATTTGGTCATACTTTGTAGCCCACAGCTTGGCATCTGGAATTGACTCGTTTTGGGTGGGAGAAGCCCAAGCCATGCAACCCTGGGAATAGTATCACTCTGGCAGCATTACTATTCTCCACCATTCCAATATGGCAAAGGCAATCCAACTATGAGTAAATAGGGTGTTGCGACGGAGTGGGCCATACTGGAGACTCAGCAAAAACTAAGCCAGTACAGTGAGGTTGTTCACACTGGGAGCAACACCATGAATTCTCATCAGCATGTCAACTAACCACTGTCAGGGGGAATGAAAGGTAAGATGGAAGAAAAAGAGTCGATGGCCAATTGATCACACGGCTCATCCACGTTCACGTGATCTACACAGAACTCCACATCTCGTGATTGACGTGAAAAGCTCTAAACGCTGATGACGTTGGGGATTGTGGGTGCTTCTAGTGACCCTTGCCACCTCAAGTGACCCCTGCCCACTCGGTGTTGGCCTATGACTCTATAACTCAGTAGTGCATGTTGAAGAAGGACACGCAAGGCAAGGTATCCCTTTTTCTTTTGCCGCTTCCCTGTTCTTCCGAGTTGTTAGTGAAAGAATCCGCCGCCTGTGTCTGGGCGTCTTGAAGTTGTGCCTGCAAGGCCTGAAGAAAATGCTTCACAGTTTCACAAATGTTTCCATATTCCAAGAACAAAAGAATGAAAGTCGTTATATATACATATACAAATACATGGTTCACAAATGGTGGAATATGCATGTTTGTTCTGCCCCTTTTCTCCAATGTGCTGAAGCTCTACTCCCTTTGACAGCTTGGACTTCGTTGCCTTCCTGGGGCGCCCTAGACAAGGGCAAATATAAAAGCATAGCCTTAGTCACCTTAGTCTGAGTGACTGAGTCACTAGTGGCGGTCATCGACCTGAAACCTTCACGTCCGTTCGTGTTCAGTTCGCAAGTTCGATGTAAACAGAATAGCTTGGGTATGATAATAGCTTCTTGTTACTACTAGTAAGGCCAGGAGCCCCTAGTAGCTTCTTGCTCCTAGTAGTAAGGCACTTGTTTCTAATAGCTTCTTGTTACTACTAGTAAGGCACTTGTTACTAGAAGCGATGCACTTGTTACTAGTAGCTTCTTGTTACTACTATGGTTCAGTTCATCAAGAGCACATCAATGACTTCACCATGTGGACTTCTGCAGTGGCTGTCCTTTCCACTCGAGAACTCTGCGGGACCCTGCCTCCAGCTGTCGGCCGGTCCCAAAAGGAGATCGGAAGCGGATGAAAGATCGGCTGAATTCCCGACATCTGGGAGCACTTTCTGTTTGCTTCTGGTCATCCCCGTAGGCTGGCTAGAAGAATGGCGAAACAGAAATGCAACAAAAACAAGAAGTGCTGTTCATCCCCGGAGTGGCCCTGCAAGGCACAAGCCTGGATTGTGGCGTGATGACTTCTTGTGCTTGCTCTGCCTCAGGCGACTGGAATAACGCCAAACATGTGACTTTTGCAGTGTGAATAGAAAATCATAGACATATACCGGACCTGCGTAGAGATATATGTACAGTACCTGTCAGTGAATCCAAGACAGCACCTGGAATCCAAACGAGTTCTCAGTGCCTGTCCAAACAGGTAAAGAACATATCCTCTTCATCCACACAAATGGCTCTACCCGCCGACGGTGAGAGAGACACAGTGGAAACACCCTTTCATCGAAGAGCTTCCTCGAAGCGTGGTCTTTCGCGAAAGATGCGACGCAAAGCGCTTGCAAAAAGCTGCAAGCGCCTACTGTGTACAAAGAGATGCAACGCAGCCGCCGCGCAGCTGCTACAAGATGCCCCATCATCTAATATCCTTTACATCAATTCTCAAACACATGTCCTAAGGTTCAGCAAGCATAACCCATAGTCTCATAGACATAACTACTATGATCACTTAGCGCAGAGTTTTCAAAAGACATTGTTGCAAATCAACTCATTCATGTCCGATTCATGTCCGATTTTCTCCCATGTTCTATCTTTCTCACCTTGAGTCAAGTTGCGCGACCCACGCTTTCGGGAGACCTGGAGCTTCTGGCGGGCTGAGTGAAGCTCCTGGTGTCGGTTCCGGTTCGGTCTTTAAACTTGATGATGACAATCAAACCATATCAAACCTCTCTACTGCCAGAGGGCAGAATCTCTAGCTGAGAGTGTTCAATCAACTCTTGTGCCAGGTGCATGTCTGTCTTTCTTTTGAAAGAGCAGCATGCTTGGAGCTACGAAATGACATGCATAGGCATAAATATGGTTCCCTCATTATTCCTCTCTAAACAACTCAAACACACGAATGGGCAAAGGTGGCACTCACAAAATGTCACAAGTGACATGCAAACATTAAACATTCACCGTCCTCGTGCAGGTCAGCTATTTGCTTGTTGCCTCGCCAGAAACCAGTGCTCTCTCAAAGGCCCGTGAAAGGATCTTTGCAAGAAAGCATGTTATGCAGCAAATGGTTTCTACATGTTTCTACTATATATCTTCTATGAACTCCTAATCATCGTTGGCCTGGCCTGGAAGACATAGCTTGACCATGGTGTCCAACTCCACCTGGCTTGACCAGTGGTCCTTCTCCGATTTCACGACTTTCACCAAAAAAGCCTTCCCCCTCAGGAACTTCCTGTCGAAAAGCCACAGGTGGCTCCGGTGCCACCTCCAGCTGCTGGCGCTGCTCCATCCAAGCTCCTCCCACTCTCCGGTCACCCTCCGGGCGCACCCTCGCATCGCGACCGAAGGGTCATCTCGACGGAGCGAGCGACCATGCTGGTTCCTAGTAGCTTCTTGTTACTACTAGTAAGGCCAGGAGCCCCTAGTAGCTTCTTGCTCCTAGTAGTAAGGCACTTGTTACTAGAAGCGATGCACTTGTTCCTAGTAGCTTCTTTGTTACTACTAGTAAGGCACTGGTTCCCTGCTGATGGTTCCCTTCATGTTCTTCCCTCCCCACACGTGGGGGTACCCAGTGAGCCCCTCCCAGGATCGTTGAATTCATGGGACCTGAGCTTTCTTTTTGGTCGAATCCAGGGAGGCTTGCGGAGGTCATAGCGTAAGGGTGCATGAATCCAGAGGACCTGGACCGCCAGTTTTTGTCAAGTAATTTGGCACCTCTAAGGGTAGAAATCCAGCATACATCAAAGGCCAACGACCTCACAAATAATAGTCAAGGCTGCGAGACATGCTTCAGCACTTTTTGCCAAGCCTTTCCTCATACGGATGTATACGTATTATGTCTCATATTTTGATCATATAGATTCATTTTGTATCTCAGGATTTCTCATTCGTTTTCTGAGCATGCTCCCTGCAACAAGCAGATCAGCAAGAATGCAGCCACATCTTCAAACAAAAATAATTCACTGGTGGTTGACTCCTGTCACCCCTTTGTTTTCCTTCCACAGCTCCCAGAAATTTTCTCAGTCCCCTCCCCCAGTTCCGCTGACTCCTTATAAATTGGACCCCTCTTGAGTCGGTTCTTGCTAACTTTCCTTACCTAAGCACTGTTTGGCACATTTTGGCAAATTCATCCAGAAACAACAGTTCGCTAGCTCCGCGAAAGGACCTGATTAACTTACTCAGGTTGGGGTAGATCAAGCTGTGAAAGTCTGCATGTAAAACAGGCCCACGCAAATTCAAACAACTTCGTTCGTCAACGGCGCTCGCCGTTCGGTCTCCACATGCTCGCCGTAGGTCTTCCACGAAGCGCTGGAAGTCGGCAGTCTGAAGCTCCATCGCAGAATGAAGCTCTTGGCAAAGACCCATGGCCTCAGCATTCCCGGTGGTTTCCTCTGAAGAAGGTATAGTATATAAACAGAATAGCCACAAAAGGTTTATCAAATAGACACAAAACAGTTGCCAGGATCAGTCCTGCAAAAAGAACAATCAATACACACTGGCAATCCAGCTTGTAGTTTTAGAAGGCAGGACAGTTTGAAGTGGTACCTCCAAAGGTAAAGTGCGTCTCTAAGAAAGGAGCTAGATCCAAAGCTGCCTGACAGGAATCAAACCAAGAATGATTAGGCCCTGTTCTCTGCCAAAATCTGCCCCTTCCAGGTTTTATTTCGCTGGCATGTGGGGCTGTGAATAAGTTATTTTAGCAAATGCAAAATAAGCTGAATAGATGCATAGACATATATTATATAAATAAATAAATATATATATATATAGATCTCCCAAAATGCTAACCAAACTCTCATGTACAAAGGCTCCGCTGCTCTACCCCCACCGCATCGTTGACAATTGATCAGCTCCATCAAACATCGACACAAACTCATAGAAGACCTAAAGCTGCTCTTACAGCAAGCAGGCCCACACAGGAGGCCCACCGAAACAACAAAGTAAACCATACATATGCACACAGGATATTAGAGACTCCCCAATTCAAGGTTGCCGTGCGATTGCGGTCTGCCTGTGTATCTGCCAGGCGAGCTTCAGTGCTCGCAAGCTGATGTTGCAGCCGTTTCGCCTCGCAATTGGTTGAAACATGACTCACGTTTTGCAAAGAGAGAAGGGAAAAAGAAGTGGATCTTGGCCACTTGATGAAACACTGTGTGTTCCACCTGATGGAAACCTTACAGTATCCCATTGCAAGAAAGTCACACAATTGGTTGAATTTGAAATGCTTTGCAATCAAATCCAAAGCTTAGCAAAACCCTAGGATAGGAATGGCACCCTGCAAGACCGACTCAATCATGAAGCTGCCTCTGAAGCAACTGGGCGGCTCTGGGCTAGCAGGTCCTCCAAGATTTCCTCGCACCAAAAATAGCAGTGTTGATGCGATGAGTTTTACAAAGTGGGTGGGTTAGCCGCCAAACCGCTCATCCCGTAAATCCGTTGCAGTCCACTCCATAAAGCTTGACATTCAATGTCCAGCAAGTCGTTCTAAGCGTCCTTGCTCCTAGTAGCGATGCCCTTTGCTCCTAGTAGCAAGAATGCTCCTAGTAGTAAGGCCAGGAGCTACTAGTAGCGTCCTTGCTCCTAGTAGCGATGCCAGGAGCCCCTAGTAGCGTCCTTGCTCCTAGTCGTTCGTGTTACTCTTCGCCGCACCTACTTGATGAGAACTTGTTCTCCTCAACAGTTTCCGAGTTTTGATCCCTCATCACCCTGGGCACTGAGGGTTACACCACCTGGATCCCAAGGTCTTTCTCCTCAAATGGTGGATCAACAGGAGACAGCAAACAGCCAAGAAGCTGATCGAATAATATACTGTAAAGTAAAATATGTCTATCACGAACATCATGGCACTCCACTGAGTATGTTCAAACAGCATGCCAACATTTAGAGTAATTAATTTAGCCTGAGGCTGTAGGGTATTGTAGGGAATTCCTTGCTGATGTTTCTTTGGCCGTATTTCCTCACCCATCTTTTTTTCTGTTCGCTTTAAGGTCCCTTCAGCGGTATCCCGCAGATCTCTGGGCAGCTGGCAGTTGACGGCTCATCCAGCGTCCCATCCGAACCTCCGCCACGTGCACGGTGCGCCACGTGCCTTCACCCTATCGCCATCGTCGTGCGCCAGCGAAGCACAATGTCGTCAACGCGGGCCATGTGGACTTCAATCGAAAGAAATGGCGAACAACGCGGATTCTAAGATCTGTATGCATCCCTCAAGCGTGGCCTCTGGGTGTTGTGCTCGCACCACACACCTGGATTCTTCGGTTCTATATAATGTGTGGATATTTGTGGATGATTCAACGTCTTCGAGCGGTGCAGATCTCTCTTCACCCTGAACTCCAGTAATCGTCTTGTTATTACCAGAACTGCAAACAGCTGCGACTAAACTCACTTCGACTGAACTCACTTTGACTCGAAACTCTCAAAGACTGATCAGTCGATGAAGCGACTCCACTTCACATCTGTGTCAGTCGTAGATCTCATGATCCTGAAAGAGGGCCCTCACCGGACACATGGCGCGTTTGCGGCATGGCGATGGTGTATGCCAGAATCCTGGTGTATGCGTGCGAATGTGTGCGATTCAACACAAGCAAGATTGAAGCAGCAAAGGGTCAATGGTGGGGTCAAAGACAGAGATGCAACAGGAGAACCTGTTTCACAAAGGAACCAACAAATGAGCAAAACAAGAGTTGTCTCTAACCCTGCTAAACTCTTAGTCTATTCTAACAGAACGCCGTTCGGCAACAACACTTCACAGGCTGTGCTTTGTGCCGAATTCGTCGATACATTCTATGCGTTCTCCTCGCTTTCTGCTGCTTTGGTCTCTTTGTTTCGCAGCCCGGGTGGCCTCCAAAAGGCTTGGACTCTGAGTCAGAGGCTGTCAACACGCGATGTGCACCTCAGCCAGTTCACTGGCCGCGGTGTCCATGTCGGATCCCATTGGGTCCGGGTTGACCAGGTCAACCGTTCTAGCAGGATTGAAAATACCTGGTATCAACAAATCCTGTGGCCCCATGATGACACCTACTGATGCAATCTATGCAGATCTATGCATCAATTGTACTAGGGGTCAGGTCAAAGACATGTCGGCGTGTGTCTAGAATTGTATGTTAGTTTTTGTTCTTGTTGCAGAGCAGATGCTTGAATCCAACACGTAAAACACAAACTTTCGACTTTCGCAAATCCCCGTGATTTCAATGCCCAAGAACGGGTGCCCCTCACAGAAGGCTCACAAAAATTGGATTTGGCTCCCCGACGTTGCAACTCTTTGGCCTCTATGTAAATGTCCTGATTGCGAAATGCGGAATGTCCGGGCTACGTCGTGATGTCGTCTTGCTCTTCTTCAGTCTCCGTGTGGACTATGTGTGAATCACGCTCTAGTCAAGATCTGACTGAGCTCCAATTACCGGTGTGCCAATCATCATTTTTGGCACCAAGAAACCGGCCCCGATTTTGGCGCAATCCCAAAAGTGCTCCAGGCCCACCTTCGAGGGAGCAGCGAGATTCTCGTCTGCTTCAGGCTCCTGTGCAAACAAACGCTGCTATTGTCACTTGGTTTTGGGGACGCCAAAAAGAATCGACCTATCTGCTTTTAACGCTTGCCATCACCGTCACATAGCCACTTTGAATGCTGAAGCGCAGTTAGCTGCTTATACTGAAATGGTACAACACAAAGGAAGGCAGAACGGACGTAATGTAATGACTTGTGAATTGCAAAGATTGCAAACAGCTGGGAACAACATCTACTTCTAGCTATATAGAGGCCTACAAGTGGGAATCATTCTTCCAATACCTCTGGGAGTGCAAGGACGGATGATGACACATCTTGACAATATATTGACAATTCAGCACATCATATATATATATATAACTTTTTATATTTATTTATATATTCGATTATATGCGTATCTCTAAGAAGGGAACAATTACAGTATGTTCACTGGCACTCTGTGACAAATCTGCTGCTTCTTACAGCCCGGGTGAAAACACAATGACACGGAGCTGCAGTAGCCAACGGAACGGCCATAGCTTTTGCCAACCAAACACTCTCCTGACTCTCCCGGATACTTCCTCCCTGACAAGAATGTAGTAGCATGAATAGCATCCATGAAACGAAACGACAAAACCAAATTGAATTCTGAAGCGACAAAGCAAACAGGGGAGCATCAAGAAAACCAATCATAGGCAAGGAAGCACTGACAAAGCAAACACATTTGGCGGGTTGTCTTTTATTGAGTCCACTTTGGAACACTTGAATCGAATCAACGTGTTTTAATCTAGACGTATACAGTATAATTACTGACTATAATATAATAGTCTATAGTAAACTATAGTATGTTTCCCGTGCTCAAGGGCTGTTGGTTCTTTCCCCATTTTAAAACAAACCGCTTGGTAGATGTTTGCATGTATTCCGACTGTATTCCACTTTCATCCACTCCCAAGATCTGTCTACTTTTGTTCGAATGTGTTTGGTCTTCAATATTGTTTCCTACAAGATCTCCCAATCTCGTTGAGAAGCGGATGCCCAAACCCAGACAGGTCAAATAGTTAAGTCACAAGTCCTTGTCAGGAGATAATGTTCTTCGTGAGGCTACTTGTAGTGCGCTGTCGGGTGATCCTTTGCCAACCTTCAGCCAGAAAAGCCGAGACATGTATCCACTTGGATGTGCACTTCAAGCGTTGGTGTCGGCAAATCACACAAGAGTCACCCTGGCTCTTTTTGCACTGCTTGATTCTTGTGCTTTGGAGTGCAAAGGTTTGGGACTCTCAGGCAATGATCTTGGCAGCACTGTAGTTGCGCACTTGCTCCTGGTTGATGCGCTTCACCTGGCCAGCGGCAAGCAACGGTGACATCGCCACCATGTCCTAAAAGCACCCCCAAACCGATCCAACGATGCCTGTGTCCGGTACTTGAGGTCCTGCATGCAAATGCCCAAAGCAATGAAGGCCATCCACCTCAGACTCCAGTCAAGAAATCGACCATCTCGCCGCTTCCGGCCGCGCCATGCATAAAAACGAAAGACGGACACAAAAACCACCGTGCGCCGCCGGTCGCTCTAAACCCGGCCAGGCCACAGGATCGAAAACGACACAAAGGCACAGCGCGGCAGGTCCGCCGAGGTGCGATCCGTCGTCGCCTGCGCGGGCGCCGAGCCAATGATGACCACATGTCGAATCCATGGGCCCAGCAAGACCACCAAACCTGCAGGCGGCCACGGCCCACGCGAATCGCACGCGCGAGGTCGAGGTGCCGGCGAGACGTGCATATGTTGGGATGTGCCAAGATGTTTCTGCCAGAAAACAAGAGGAAACATCTAACAAGAAGCTATTAGAAACAAGTGCAACGCTAGTAGTAACAGGTGCCTTACTAGTAGTAACAAAAAGCCTCAAGAGGAAACATCTCAATGTTTGCAAACCATATTAAAACCATATTAAACCCATCATCCGCATCATTGACGTTGTTCTTCCGAGACCGGACGCCCATGGAGAAAGCCTTATTTTTTTTCTCAGGATTTGGGATGCAGTCTGCCACCCAAGTTTGGTCTTATGGGCTCCTTTCCAAGAACAGCAAAGTGAAAGTCATGAAAAGAGTGACCGCCCCTCCTGGAAGCTTTGAATTTGGAATGGCTACCAGCAAAATGACACCCAAGACAGAGAAGATCTGAGTCACGATCATCTCCAGATACCATCCCAAGTAATACTGGTCAGCACCAAAGGGGCCAAGAAAGATGCAAAGCAGCCATGCGGTGAGTTGACTCAACCGCTTAGACTGGCATTCAGCTCCTCCATATCCAGGATGACATTGACAGAAAGAGATGCCACTGTCACCAAAAGGCACACAAGAGCCCTTGCCACTGCATACGTCGGCAATCTTCAAGGATGAATCGGTGCAGGAATTGAAGCGTTCTTTGGAGGTTTGATCCTTGTAGGAATTTTGCACCCAATAGTCAGGTTCTTGGCGCCAGTAAGGAAGCTTATGGGGGCTGAACCACTTCCTTAATTCCGAGCTAACACAATTACACAATTGCCCATGAGATCAAGTTCTAAGCTGCACTATCTAGAATCTAGAACCGCGACAGAGAACATACGTCCTTTTTGCATTGGCCCCTGAACTGTTGCTGTAAAAATGCTGCGTCACTTTTTGGTAGGAATCTAGACTCTATCCTGTGTTTCTTCGTTTCTCTGGCCAGATTCTGAGGTAAAGAGATTGCAAAGTCATCAACCTTTGGCATATCCAATAAGCCTCGCAAGGGCAGAACATCCACTTCACAAACAGCTGTTTGCATCTGCATGATGAGGGGGCCTTATTCTGCTTGAGGCAAAAAGGACACCAATCATCGTGCTTGCACCATCCACAATAGCCAAGGCGCTCTCTTCACATCCCTGCAATGTAAAGGACAAACATGCTAAGGCCACAAACAGTGCCAGTCGCACCATCGCGGTGAGACGCTTCATTGCTACTTTCTTTGAGTTTGGAACGGCCACAGGTGGGTGGCTTTGTGATGATCTGGTTGCCTCCTTTGGATCTTTCCTCGTCTTAACATGCTATAAGTACTTTTGTGATGATCTCCATGCATGCCATTTGCTTCCCCCAAAAGTATCTGAGACCCTCTGTGAATCAAACAAACACTCTTGCAATGATTAAAAGCTCATCATCGTTGGTGACACTTCTTACATTTAACCGCATGAGGCCCTTTCGACCATGTCTGAGTCCATTCAGCGTCGAGGTCAGCACCTTCAAGCGCCTCGCCCTGGACAATGCCAAAGCCTGGCACCAACAATCGGCGGGAACCAGGCGACGCTAACGACGCATTCCGACGGAGTGATGGATCCAGTCCCCTTCGGTTAAGTGGAGTGCTTTCACTATTCGTGTGCTTGAACGACCCACGCGGCAAACGACGCTAAATTGACATGGTGCTCGAAACTCAGAGCTACATGATGCGCTTCAACAAAATGAGTATTGTAGTATTGTAGACATCTACACTCCAGAAACAAAGCATGATCTAGGACAAAGACCCTGAACACATCATAAGGACTTTGAGGGAAAAAAACATGGGCCGAGTCCAAACGCCTAAAGCCGCTTTCAATTCCGACAACAGTGAGAGGATGTGAAGGTGAGAAATGGCAAGGGAGTCCCTCTATGTTCCACCTATTTGGATATGCCCAGACCTAGAACAAACCTCAAACAAGCATGGAACCAGTTGCTTGAGGGGGGAGCTGGTCTCCTGCCTATTCCATCCTATTCAAACGGGATGAGAAGGGAATAGCTCCTGCCGGTGAGGTCGACAGGGGAGCAGTTTCTCCGGCGACGAACCGAGCCTCTTCCTTCAGCTCCAGCAAAGGCCGCCGTCTGGTTTCAGCCATTTTTCAGGGCTCCGAGGTTGAATCCAACGTAGATCTTGATGTAGTAGTAGCTGACACATGTTAAGGTAGAATGTGTAAGAACTAAAAAAGACTACAATTCAGGTGATAGGAGCACACATACATACAAATACCTTCTATTTTTCTTGATCGGAAGGACCTGCCATGTGCAAACTGAACTGGCTGAGCCGCTGAAGCCCGTGGCTTGAAGATAGTGGCCAAGGAGAACTGACAGCTACAAAACAAACAGCTCATGTGCAAAGCGCAGGAGGGTCACATAGCTGCTTTCTCCAGATGTTTTGTGAGGGATGCCATGAAACAACTCTGCTGCGCTACTTTGAGCTGCAGCAAGCTGCTGGAACCTGCAGAAGTCTGCAACTGCTGGACTGATCAAATGCGCTTGTGGTGCCCCATCAGTCATCCAATGTTGCAGCAAACCATAGCCGCAGCTGGAGAGGTTGAAGGATGTTAAAAGGTCGTTGACTGGCTGCTCCGCAAACGCCGACGCAGCTCAGTAGTCTTACCGCTGGGCATAAACTCCTCCATGGAAGAACTTTGGAGTCCTTGCAAGCGCTACAAAGACTTGCAACATTCTATCTACAACACCGAGGGACATAGTGCAAAGTCATGCAGCCTCGGCCAAACCTCTGCAAGTGTGGCAAAGATACAAGGTTGACGATTCTGAAACGTCTTCGAAAAAAATTCTATTTCCAACCTTGAAATGTTTCATCCATCAACATCCTTCATCAACATCTGAGAGCATTTTGGAGCTACCCAGACTGTCTGGAGGGGGTCTGGGGGGTCTCTGTTTTCCCTGGGTTTTGAGGGACCAGGAAAAGGGCTGTGAACGGAGCGTCTGGTGTGACTCTTTGAACCTTCTAGTAGCTTCTTGTTACTAGTAGCTTTTTGCTCCTAGTAGTAAGGCCAGGAGCCCCTAGTAGCATCCTTGCTCCTAGTAGCGATGCCAGGAGCCCCTAGTAGCTTCTTGTTACTAGTAGTGGTTTATCCAAGTTGAAGAGAATGCCAAGTTGCCACTTCCATTGCGGACCCGCGCTTCGACTCCCCAATCTTTGGCGGCCAAGGCAGAGCCCGCAGCCAGCAGGCCTTTGGTACACTGGGACCAGGATTTGGACCTACCTGGAGTTGAAAGAATCAAAGTTAGCTCAGAATGGCCAAAAAAGAAGACACATAGAGATGAGATGGGTGAGGTGTTGAATTAAATCGTAACCGAGGGTTATTTAAGGGCTTACGCCCGACAGCCGGCCAGGGGCCCAAGCAAAGGGGAGGGGGCAGGGAAAAAGGGCACGGGGGCGTTGTTGTTGTTGTTGTTGTTAGCCCAGCAGCCGACCACGATGCAGACGAAGCACCCCGGTGCCGCACGCATTTCCAGCATCATTTGGGCATATGTTGGGCCATGTTCACCCATCTTGCGCCGCAAGAGCCGAAAAATTGGACAAGCCAAAAACACTGTAAAACGCGGTAGCTTCAGATGGTCCTCGCGGGGGTCGGCGGCGGGGGTGGGACTCCCCTCTCTCCTACGGGGAGGAGAGATAGCCTACGGCAAGGACACGGCCTTGGGGCCCCCCGGGCCCCTGGCCGGATATGCGCTCGCGCCCCCTGCCGCCGACCCTCGGGCCCAGACCCCCTTCCCACTTCCTCGGCACTAAAGCCCCTGTAACTTACGGTGCTTTGTGTGTGTGTGAGGTGTAAAAAAACACTGTGTTCTATTGGCTTTATTGCGCATATCGAAGTGCGACGCGGCGAAGATGGAGAAATGCCAAAATGCTGTGCTTTTCAAGGGTGGTGTCGGTAATGCGCGCCGCGCGGACAAGATTAATCGACATTTCGTGGGAGTTAACAGCAAAGGCGGAACATGTGCTCCAAGATGATCTGACAGAGGCCCTCAAGAGGACCCAACATAGGTCCCAGATATGGCACACATAGCCGACATAGCCGCAAGATGACCCTACCTAGGTCCCAGACATGGGAAACATAGCCCCAAGATGGGCCAAGATTGCCTCAAGATGTGGCAACATAGGCCCCACACAGTCTTAAAGAGAGAGGGAGAGAGAGAGAGAGAGACAGAGAGACAGAGAAGACAGAGACAGAGACAGACGGGAGAGAGAGAGAGAGAGAGACAGGACCCAGCCCTACACAGACCGAAGTGGGCCGGCGCCCGGCTGTTAGGCGTAAGCCTTTAAATTCAGAGTAAGACAGAGCAACGAGGTGAAATTGCCTGGAAGAACAGCCAGTGCAATCAGGGGATGTGGAGTGAAACTATCATGCTGATAGACAAAGTTACAGCGTGAGGGAGACAAAGCAAGGCGCAAGGTCTGTGAAACAGGTGTGTGATGCTGTAAGTAAGACCTCCGCACACCGAGGCCAAGTCCAACCGAAGACGGCTTACACCCTGGAAGATGAACATGGAACTTGAAAATTGAATTCTAGAAGACTATTTTCCTTTACAACCCAGTGGTTTTCAGGTTCTATGTTAATTTTCCAGGGCGTAGGTCGATTTCCACCTGCGCACACGTCGTCCGCCACACCAACTTCTTCTGCACCTCCAATCTTCTGCAGCGTCATCCGCAACGCCTTCGCGCTCAGGGAGAGCGCCTCCGCAGCTGCGCGCTGCTCCAGGGCATCGGCCGTACTTCCAGGAGAACGGCCGTCCACCGGAGAAACATCGTCCAAGGGAGCTGGACCTCCATCAAGCGCGAAGGACCACATCATCTGAATGATATCATGAGAATTCTATGAAAAAAAAAACAGGACAGGATCAAGTATACCATGTATTCATGATTGATACAAGATTCATACATGACAGGATCATATCACAGTATACCAATTTTGACATGCTATATATATATCATGTAATGACCAGCTCAATGAGATGGATAAGAAACAGCTTCAGGCCACGATGGTTGGAGAATGTACAGTTCTTGTCTTGGAGCAATCAAGATCAATTTGCAGTATAGTCCCAGAATGTGTAAATGAAACTCATGGTGTCAACGGATTAATGTATTTAGACTTGTATTTAGATGTATGTATATAGTCAAGACAAATTCACAAAAGCTAAGCACATTGGGTCTGAACTGCAGTTGCAGGCAAGCACATGGGCAAATAGTGCAAACATGGAACCCTCCTCCGTTTCGCCCTGCAGCACGTTGCCTGGGCTCGCCGATTGCCGGCAAAAATCCCTTCAAACTTTTCAAGGAGAAGGACCAATTATACAATCTCGGATCATGTGACGATGTTCCTTCAATTTTCGACTATGCTCTCCGCTTTGGCCACCAACACTATATACGTACCATAAAATACCCACCAACAAGAGCTGGGAAGAACAACCTTCGTTTTCGTGAGTTCTTCGATGTACACCTTGTACGAGGCCTACCCGAGCCTGGGGAGTTCGCAGGCTACGAGGGCTTCCTTTCAGCTAAGTGACAAATGCTCTGTGAGGACATGGGCTCCAGATTGGCCTCCTTTTTGGAGCCCTCCAGCAAATGGTGAAGCTCATGCAAGGAGTCCTTAGTAAAACTTGCAAGGGCCTTGAACTTCAGATGTCGTTGATTTACAAGTCACGTATCATATCTAGTACCTATAGTAATCTAGTATCCTTGACTTGTCAAATAAACCTTTTGTTGGTTGAATTATGTTTAACTACAAGGTATCTAGTCGTGGTTATGGTGAACATGAGCTGAAAAGGCGAGACTCATCCAGGCCCTGCAACACAAGCTTGACTGCTCGCACAAAGGTCTGACATCGGTCTACCTCGCTCTTGGGCAAGAGCTTTTTCACGATCTTTCCACCCCACTCGCGGTCACAGCGTGTGCTGCTGTTCTGAAGAGCATTGAGCCAAACATAGACCTGCAGCAGCTCTACAGGACGCGGCCCAGCAAGAATGGCACGAGCTTGGCATTGATCCTACCTGCGTCATGACCCACATACAGTAATATAATTGGCACCAGCCTCATCAAAGTGGTCCAGGAAAGTTGGCACAGACTCCGCCTATCAGTCATGCAGGTCCCATCCGGAGATCTGGCGTTGTGTCATTCATGGATTGATTTCACGTGCATCCATGAACGAACTTACTCATTTGGGTGCAATATCCTGAGATATGCCAATATTCTAGCCACTCGGTTAGTCCAAATTGTGCTTGTAGGGCTGTAAGATTGATCAAGGAACAACAACAGCAAGTGCTGCCAAGCGCTGCCAACTAAAACGCAAAAAAGCGATGGCTTCAATTTGTCAGCACTGAGTGATGGAGTGAAGGCGCCTTGTATGCATTTTGCCAAAGCCTTGTCCACACCAAACCTCGGACTGAATGATCGTGTCTGCATCTGAAGCGAAAGCAAGACTTGCTTTCAGCGCACGTGCTGTGACATAACGGCATGATGTTAGAAGATCAGGTCAAGCATATCATGGACCAAACATGTTTCGTTGTGCAAATCTGACCCAGACTCAGTAGTGACTCAGCCCCGCTTACTGCGTTCTACCGATGTTGAATGTAGCAGTATTGGTTCTCTCTTGAGGCCCTTCACCTTTCCCCCAAAAGCGCCTTCTTTTTGAATCTCGGACTCCCAGAATCGTGCCTCCTGAACAAGGCCAGCTCAACCACTTACACACTTCTCATCAAGTGGACGCTCCCCAAACTTAGGCCAGAGGCCTATTCCGTCAACTGTCAATGTGAGGACTTGAAAAATGAGGTGATGCAATGCAGTGTTGCTTGCTGGAAGGCCTGACTAATCTATGCAGCGACCACTCACCAAACACTTTCATTGCAATTTACAACCATTTACCATAGGTGTCCAGGCCCTTTGAGCTTTCAAGCCAATCAAACCATTCTTTCGGAACTCGGTCAGCCAAGCTGGCATCCTCCGCTCCCTGGGCACCTTGATGCTCTTCTGCAGGGCATCCAGCTCCAAGTCACCAATGCCATCGGCCTGGCGTGTGCCATTTGGCCATCGATCTGGGATGTTGAGATGTGAGACGCGTAGTACACGTGTAGATGCTCTTCCATCTGATTTGTAGCTGTCAATATTTTCTTCAACCTCTTCTGCCTATCATATAAGCTGTTTTGAGTGGGAATACGCACTGGCGCATGGGAAACCAGCTTGTTTGTCTTGTTTCCCCGCTCAGTATGCTCACTGCAAAGCTTGAGTTGCAGCTGGCCCTCCATCTCCTGTGTCGAAGAAGTATATATAATATGTAAATCCGAACTATCGACCAAACCTGACGAAGGTGTTGGTCGAACCACTGGTGTTCGCGGGCTGTAATGAATAGCATTCGACTTCACCAAAGGTCCATTCAATGGACTTCTCATCGATCAGGGCTTTGACTCGTTCCAGATCGCAATGCGAACACTGAGAGTGCAAATGAGCACCATAAGCCATCTTACTTTTCCTCCGAAATGGTCAGTCCGATGTACTTTCGAGGTGAAAGTGATTGAAAATGGTACACCCTTTAGGTGCTTGGCTGACAAGCGACGGGAGGTACATCAATTTGTCACGTAAACATTGATGCCCAAGTCTCTCGATATATAGAATGTCAAAAACAAAAAACACACACAGCCAGCGGATTGTCTTCTATGCCCCAGTTGCGGAGGCTTTTGTCTGCCGCTTTCGGTTGCGGCCTCCCATCTGTTGCATCTGACACTTTCATGAAGCTCCAGGCTCCTCGCGCTCCGTTTCCTCTCAGGTGATCACCGTGGGAGCATCACCTGGGTCGAGAGTGATCCCTCCGGCAACCATTCGTGCGAGTGTCGTGCGTGTGGGTTTGAAAGGAACTGTCGAAGCACTGCAAGGTCTTTCACATGTGTTTCTTGCTTTGGTTTCGCAAGAAAAAACGCCCAATAAAACAGGACCGATCAACACAAAGACTTCACTTGAGAGGACTATGGACTTCTTCGCATTTCGCAACGCATGAAGCGGCCTTCAGGTGTCCGACCTGTCGTGTCGAGTCTAGGTGTCCAGTCTAGGTGTCCCGGGCGTCCGGTGTAGCTGGATAACTGTGACAACTCCAGGGCGATGGCCGCCAAGGGCTTCACAACCTCACCGGTGAAATCACACGACTGACTGTGAAAAAGAAAAAACACATGACTGCGGCGAGAAATGACACGTTCGAACAGTCAGGGGTCTAGTCTAGCTGCTAGCTACATCATCTTCATGTATGGCACATAATGTCACATGTGAAAAGCTATACAGTTATACAGCGTATAAGCATATAATCTCTAGTGACGACAAGCAAATCCTCCCAAACATGTTTCAGAAGGTAGTGAACACCTGAGATCTGCTGAATCCCCCACCCCCACAAAGGAAGCGACATCGGGAAAACAAACGACATGGCCTTGGCACCAAAAAGGTCCACTCTTTCTCTGATTTCACCCAAAATGGTGACCGTCAAGGGAACATGATGTTGAAACCCTGGAATCCACAAAATGCTTTTCCTCCTTAAGTACACGTCCGTGCAGTGCATTTTTCTTGGAATTGCATACAGCCTGCAGTGAAGTGCCTGCACTCTATGAAGGTAATGGCCGAACATCTTGCAGTACAACTAGCAATGACATGGTGTTCAGCTTCTTTCCTCCACTGAAGCCTATCACTGTGACCTGTCTCCAATTGACCCTTAGGCACGAGGCCTGCTAACACTTGTGATCCTTTGCTTCGCTCCGTCCCACCATCTGGGCACTCAAACCCGAGATCCGTCCTACCGGTGAACCTCGAACTGGTGCTGCGTGAGGTCACCACTGGGAGGCTCGTACTTCTCAAGGTACAAACGAACCGTGGCACCTGGTGCGTTTGCTCAAGCGATGAATTCTGTGGTCAAGTTCCAGCAACTTGTCCAATTCCCGACATAGATGAAGCCAACATGAAGATGTGGAGCGTTCACAACAATATCAACATATCCGCCGACTAAACCAGCCACTAAAAAAAAGGATAAACAAAGTGATGCATGACGACTGACAAAACCATGGTCCAAGTCTGGGAACGAAGGGCAGCTGATCACCGGAATGGGAATGAATGGCAGTGGAAACAAAAACATTCCCTTCAACTTCAGAATGTGATAGTTCAACATGTACATATATATGTTGTATATTGTTGTATAATGTTGTATATGACATAATATAGCGGCTTATCAAACAACCTTTGGCTTGGCGCCTAAACAAACTTGTCCCTTGCATCCGCGCGAACGCCGGGCCGCTGCAAGCCGCTGCGCGCCTGCTACGCCGGTGCCGGAGAGTCGGAAGACAATCCGAGAGTTGTCCTCAAAGATGAAGCGCAGGCCCTGTTTCTTGGAGACGCTGCCATCAACAGGGTCAGTGTACTCGAACATGTCCTGAAAAACAAAAAACATAAACAAACCGTGAAGAAAAAAACAGATCGTCATATTTGTTGTCATACGAAGACCACATATTTGCATATATTTTGACGATTTTGGATGTATTTGATGGACACTCACAAATCCTCCAAGTGGAGTTATTGAATGAACTGAACGCCTAGCATCATTGATCTTGATCTTCAAACCTCCTGGGAACTCCTTTCCCACCAGCTTGCCAGTCTGCGCTTCCATAGCAGCAAACATCTCCTCGACATGCGGGTCAGAGTTTCGAGCCCTAAGAACCACATAATAATTGAAAGGGATCAAATCTATGGACGGCAAAAATAAAGCAACATCGCAGTGCTCCTCTGCCTTGGCCTTGTCAACCCCTTCATAGTCATAGCGAGCGTAGTAGTTCCGGCCATACTCCTTCCAGTGGGCATTGGCGACGTCCTGATCGCGGCTGCGGCAACAAACATCCCCGCTCTGCCAGTCATTTCTGGTCACAAAAAGCTGTCCTCCACGGAGACCAATTTGCCAGCCTCCTCAGTCTTCTTGGCCAAGATTTGAAGCCAAGCCATTACTGCCCACATGCCATCCTCGAGGAATTTCCACATGCATCGCACCGGGAAACACATGTTCTCGAGAGGGTCAGCTGGAAGGTTGGCTGGTACAAGCATAGTTCTTCCAGAGGTCAGTAGATGTTCTTTTGAAGGTCTGCTAGCAAACACAATACTGTGAATTATAATTATGCCTCTCATGTCTGCACATACGTTATCGTCACAGAGGTGACAGGCAGTCCTTTTCTCGGACATGATCTGCGCCGGTCCCAAAGGATTCTTCACCACAAATGAAAGGCGTGTATGTCTCCTGCATAGACAAGTCCAAAAAAATACTTCAATGTAGGTATTGCCAGTAATATCAGTAATTAGGAGTGCAAACCTTTTCTTTGGAAGGTCACGGTGGTCACGGCATCCAGGACATCGAAGTCGTCGTCACATGTCACTCGGAGTGTCCGTCCTTGCCGGGAAAGTAGCTTGTTCCGCTGTCCATGAGGTTGCCGAAGAACTTCCATCCCGTCGGCACTTCGAAGCATGGAATGCCCTTCCTCAGGGGAAAGAGGCATTGAGCCAAGAAACATCATGAAGCTACCTTCCTCCATGTTGTGTTCAGAGACTTCTGCCTTGCATCTTCAAAACTCTTCAACAAACAAAACAGCACAGAATGCGGCGCATGCGGTGGGGGAAGGCCATCAACGTCTGAGCTTCTTTTTGGCCACCAAGTCCAAGGCGGCGGAGGTCGGCATGGACCGAGCACATCCCCTGAGACCTGTCTTGAACCTTGGTGATCAAACCGCTTTTTTAGGAGCTCATGTTGTAGCACGACAAGTAGGCAGGGGGTCAACACCTATAGTCAAACATCCTCAGGCCACTTCAGGGTATGTACAGGAAAGAAACACGATCTGGGTGTTTCTTCCTTTTGACCCAGAACTCAAATCAATAATTGCATTGAATCCGTTTGAAACACATTAATCAATAGGCCAGTTATCGCAGTTGATCCATGTGGTCCAATCAAAGAAAGGATGATATGCGATCGAACGATATCGAACGATCATTCAGAAGTTTTTGAGAGGAAGCAAGTTGTTCGAACAATAAGAAGCCGTATACGCAAGGTTGTTGCGTTTCCTCGGTTCATGATGGGCAGGGCGAAGACTCGCAGTGATGTGGGCGAAGACTCGCAGGACGGTTGCAATGATCTTGACAGCGATGTGAGGTGACGCTGTGGCTCATGTCGGTGAGATGCTCCAATCACTGGCATTTTTGAGCCGGGCCGTCGATGGACATTGTGTAGCGTGCAAGGCGAGATGAGATGCAGTCACATGCCAATATTATACATTGTTGGATCTCCTCTCAAGTTCTTTGCAAGGGGACACATTGGAACACTCCAGCATCACTCACTTTGTGTCTTCCAAAAAATTGTACATATCTCCGACTCCAACATGATGCGATATAATATTGCTTTGATACACAAAAGAAAGGCTATCGGCGATCAAAAGCATTCAAAAAGCCTTCCCAAATCCAAAGAAATCACATCCCCAACGGACGCGCTCCAAGAACTCAAAGGAACGTGTCTGGTCTTTTGTCGACCTGGTCGACGTGTTTCGTGGGCCTTTAAACATATCTCAAATGTGCTACTAGTAACAAGTACATCGCTACTAGGGTCCAAGTGCATTGCTTCGTCCGACATCCGTTTTGTCGTTCCGGCCCAGGCACTGAGGGATGAGGTGCGCATTGGCCACGATCATCGCTAAGGAGTCGCTGGGCGACACGAAGAACTGCGAGCCGCAGATCATGTTGCGATCGGCGTCGCCGTCGGCCGCGGCGCCGAAGCTAGGGATGGGCTTTCCGGTGGAGACCTTGTTGCCCTCCTTTCGGATGGCCGGATGATGAACAAATAGAAAAAGAACAGGAAAAGCATGGAAATGCGGATGTGTTCTACAGATTACATAGGTAGACCAAGCGCTATACAGAAATCAGATTAGGCAAAGGCACACAAAGCACCTTTCTTTCCAGGTACCAAAGAACATATCAATATATTATATCGATTTATATCATATATGAAATCA